GTATGCGTGTATGTCTGTTTCAGTATGTGTGTCTGTTAGTATGTATCTGTGTCCTTTTGTATCAGTGTGTGTGTTTGTGTCTGTGTGTGTGTATTCCTGTGGGCGGTATTTGGAGGCGGTCTCTGTTGGCGGTTTTGGAGGTGGGCCCCCAGGGGCCCAGTCCCCGAGCTCAGTTAGGGGCACCAAAATTTCTGGAGGCGGCCCTGGTCAGGACCCGTTGGTTTGCAGACTTCTCTGGGGCATGAGACTATTGTGGCCTCCAATGCCTAAGTACTCCTCCCTCTGGGGCATAAGCACAATGTTTTCATTCCTCCAGGACTGGCTGGATAATCAGGACCTTTCCCTTTCGGCAGCTTTCGACTAAATTCGCTCTCCTACTTTGCCTAATTTCTTTCCGTTGGGTCTCTGACATTCGGGCTTTTGATGTTGACACTTTTTCTTTTTCTCTGGAGTGGTTTACCTTCACGGTGTCTAGACGTACTAAGTCGGACATCCTACGTTCAGCCGACTGGTCCCAAGAAGACACTTTCTGTCAATTTTATTTCAGACCAGCGGATCATGCTTCTTTTGCCTTGTTGTCAGAGCATTAAAAAAGCAAATATGAAGCCTCCTGTCATGTTATAAAATTGTAGATTATACTAGCTTTAGTGTAACTATAATCTTAATTTTATTAATGACAGGAGGCAAATATTTCCCTCCCAGTTTCACCCTACCCTTGTTCCTTTTTTTTAATTGTTTTATTTTACCGCCTTTGGTTTTCAGATTGTTCTGCAGGCTTATGATTAGGTATGTCACATGTTTATTGCCTTCCTGACGGGGTGAGATTTTATGGATATTGTACCGTCTGTAGTCGATTATAGGGGCTTCATGTTTTCACAGTACATTCCATTCACTAACCGGATCTTTTGACTCCGTTTAATGGTTCATCTACGGATCCACGTTCAAGGTCTTCTTCTGGATAAAGGTCTTCGGTTGACTTCGTTTTGACTTCTACTACTACTGCTATATGTATATGATTGTTTCTGTTCTTTGATTTTTGTTGCAGCTTGAAAGAGGAAGTAGTTGGTTAGGAGGGGACTTTTATTATTCCTTACTTTTTTCTGATTGGTTGTTTTCTCTCGATGTTAATGTGCTGCCGTGGAGTTCTAGTAAAGAGAGACTTAGGCAAATATTCACCTCCTGTCAATAATAAAATTAAGATTATAGTTACACTAAAGCTAGTATAATCTATAAAGAAATAATAAATCAAGTGAGCGATCTTATGATAAAATTTGAAAACACTTAAAAGGCAACTCCTATGTCTGAATGAGGTTAAGCTATTAGCAAAATATCAAACAATAGGCACAACCAAGTTACACTGATAATTAAAGATATATATTGTATAAAAGAAGGCTTTGTGGAAAATGGGCCAAATATGTATTAACGAGGATTATCGGTGTCTTGTTGTTGGCTCCTGGAATAAAGGCTAAATACCATATAACCAGTGGTAGTAGAAGTCTGAGGAGAAAGAGGAAGTAAATATTGTATTGCCTGTAAATGCAAGGCAAATATTAACTAGAACAGCCTTCAAAACTAACTAAACAGGCATAGGAGGATAGAAAAAAGAAAATACTACAATTAAATCAACATGATTCCAAACAAGTAAATAAATAAAAGGTGAAGTGCCCCCAAAAAACCTGCAGCCTGAGTTTTAGTGCAGAACTACATGCACCTTCGTCAGGGGAAAAGATCACCTAACAAAGGTTGCTTTTATAACAGAATATCCTACATGGGTATCATCAGTATGAGCCAATCGTATGAGTGCACGTCGAAAATTATAATGTAACTAGTATATAGTTAGATATTTTAAATATAGATAATATAACTAGCATCTAGTAAAGTACCATGGATAATATAACTAGTATCTAGTAAGGTACCATAAATACTATAACTAGCATCTAGTAAGGTATCATGGATACTATAACTAGTATTGTGACAGACCCATCTGTATGAACTAGAATTGCTGTGTTCGTCTGTTTTGCCGTTTGGTTAACCTATTGATCCCAATTAGAACATTGCGGTTAACCGAATACAGGGTGGTCGTCGTTCGTATGTCGACCACGAGGCGGCGACCATTTTAACTATGCGAAAGCCCAGCGGTGTTCGACGTTTATTCCATGGAACTAAAAACTGACACTTTTTCAACCGAACACCGCTGAAGCCGTTGACCTCCCCTTCTCAATCGACAAAAGTATACGAATACCGGCCGTTCGAGAGATTTAAAGGCACGAATGGACTTACCCCAGATAGCCTTCCCATGGAAGAGCTGTAATAGACTTTGACTCCATGGCGATTGAACTATGTGTGTGGGATCTGAGCGCTATTCGCATATAATATGCACTCAGATCCAGGCTATCTGGGGATGTGTTATATGAATGCAATACGTTCGACAGTTATAAAGTTATGTATTTGAATGTGTTTTGTGACTTGTATTTAAAATGGTGATTTGCCTCTGCTCTGGGAGATAATTGAATTACTTCTCAATTGTCTCCCGAGCAGAGGGGAGGAAACTGTGTTGCATGCTGGGAATATTGTGGGGATGTATGTCTGAAATGTCCCCATGTCCTTCTGTTATTCCAGTCTCCCATTTGGTCCCCTAGGGGAGTGTCCACCAAGTGGGAGACCTGCATAAATACGGGCAGGTAGCCCACAGTAAACTCAGTTCGTGTTTTACCCTCAGAGCGGAGCTTGGTCTCGTTATTGGGGGGATTTTATTACCGGCGACTAGAGACTGCTTATTGGGATTATTTGCCGCTTGGAAACTATTGCCGTTCGGCTGCTTTTGGCGATTCGTGTATTTGGAGCTCGTGAAGGGAAGGAGCTGTACCGGTACTGTTCGGGAGGTTGGAGTGTTCCCTGGCTGGCGGTTCGCATGGTTATACTGTATACGCTACCAGACCACATTATTGCGAACGGGGAGCATTCACTAAACGGCGGTTTGTGCATTTATTACTGGAGGTACCGTAACAAGTATCTAGTAAGGTACAATGCATAATATAACTAGTATCTAGTAAGGTACCATAGATAATATAACTAGCATCTAGTAAGGTACCATGGATAATATAACTAGAATCTAGTAAGGTACCATACATAATATAACTAGAATCTAGTAAGGTACCATCGATAAAATAACTGGTATCTAGTAAGGTTCCATATTTAATATAACTAGATTCTAGTAAGCTACCATATATAATATAACTAGTATCTAGCAAGGTACCATGGATAATATAACTAATGTATATTATATTACCATGGATAATATAACTAGTATCCAGCAAGGTACCATAGATTATGTAAGTAGTATCTAGTAAGGTACCATGGATAATATAACAAGTATCTAGTAAGATACCATGGATAATACAACTCGTATCTAGTAAGATACCAAAGATAATATAACTAGTATCTAGTAAGGTCCTATAGACAATATAACTAGTATCTAGTATAGTACCTTGGATAATAAAACTAGTATCTAGTAAGGTCCTATAGACAGTATAACTAGTATCTAGTATAGTACCTTGGATAATATAACTAGTATCTAGTAAGGTACCATAAATAATATAACTAACATCTAGTAAGGTACCATGGATATATAACTATTATTATTATAGTTTAAAACTGCACAAACTACCGAACATAGTCAATGTTCTTACCCTGGTGCTTGTTCCCCTTGTTCGTGGGGATGTTTCCACCAAACAGTGTCTTTCTAAGTGTTGTTGAACCGAACCATGAACTCAATGACCAAACACCGCTGCCTGTGTTCATGCGAACAAGATGGCCGCCACCTCATGGTCACCCAGACGAACACTTAGAACACTACGGTGGAAATTGCTACAAAGTATCAACTAGGCTTAACAAGCTCCAGGTTGGTCTCGGGTTCGTGCAGCTGTTCGGTTCCTTAACCACATAGTCCAAATACACAAACAGAGATGTTTACATCACATTTTACAGGGTCCATAGTCTGTGGGCAGAAGGCTGGCAAGCAGGCTCTTCAAGGAATTTGTGGCAAACTCACTTGGAAAGGGGAGTTCGTCACAGTTACTATAACAATTTTACGATTTATACCTGTAGTTTGTCACTGCAAGTTTCTATGCATGCAGTTATTTTCATTGTAAGTTTCAGGGAATGTATTCAATCAGTAGTTCAGTTATTAATATTTTGGATTATGAGTTCGATAATCTGCGGATCCTGGTTGGTCCACAGATTATCGCTATTAACGTCTAAGGACCTTTAATGGAACTCATGGGTTCCCAACACCAAACAATGCTGCCTCTCCACTTGGAATTCTCTGAGTAGTTGGTGTTTGGAGAGGACACCTGTTTCTATCATCCTGAACTATCTGTCCCATCTCTTTGTGCCGGTCGTACATTTCGTTCTATCAACAGGACTATGGTGCACAGAACTATGTTGGTGGCTCACTTTCCCCTTGAAGGCATCGGGGTGGGTCAGTGCCCTCTGGTTTGTCACCCTTTGAGAGCTATTAATCGTCTAGGTCCCCTGCGTCTAACTATCCCGACCTCTGGGGCATGAACTGCGTTTTCTACGGTCTTGACAGTGCAGATTTGTCCCTTTGACAGTTTTTGCTATTATTATAGAGAAAGCTATTCTAATTTACTTTCAATGCATTTCGGACTTTATTGTCTCCTTTTCTATATCGCACCTTACTAAATCATACTCTACGTCCACTTTTTTCCCCCCCTTTCTTTCAGACAGTCACTCGGTTGAGCGTCGTTAATACACTTTTATGATATGCCGAGGTTACCACGTCTTTGTCTTCGGGCCAGCTTGTGGTTTCTTACATTGAGCCCCACAACCTGGCTTGTTTTACTATTTCTGGCTATATTGTTATTACTGAAACCAAGAGGGCTGTACTCGACTGAACATGCATACATCATAGGGTGCTACTGGGGCCAATTCATACAACATACAAACTACAAAACCCAGCACACTTGCTCATTCACTAAACAGCAATTTCAAGTCTACCAGAATGTAACAGTTTTTAAATTATTTAAAAACTATTACATACTGGTAGACTTGAAAATGCTGGTAGACTTTAAAAACTATTACATACTGGTAGACTTGAAAATGCTGTTTAGTTAATGAGTGAGTGCGCTGGGGATTGTATTGTGTATATTATATTGTTATTACTGTCGCTACAAAGAAAGAGGAGGAGCTTAGACTGCCAGGGCCTTTTGTAGCATGTCTAGCTGTGTTTTGATTGGTGGTTCTGTTTATGATCTGTGCAGCAGGGGCAGCAAAGAAAGAGGAGAGGCTTAGACTGGCAGGGCCATTTATGGAATGTGTAGCTGTGTTTTGATTGGTTGTTCTGCTTATAATCTGTGCAGCAGGGGCAGCAAAGAAAAAGGAGGAGCTTAGACTGGCAGGACCTTTTATGAAATGTCTAGCTGTTTTTTTGATTGGTTGTTCTGTTTATGATCTGTTCTGCTGGAGTTTTCAGTAAATATAGTTATGAAAAATATTTGCCTCCTGTCATTACTAAAATTAAGATTGAAGGTACACTACGTTGGCATAGTCTAGAATTATGTCTAGAATTATGATATAATGACAGTTTATTTGTAATGATGGACAGAATCAATGTATATCTAGACAATATCAATGTGAATTAATATCATTATGTCCCTGCTTTAAAACATGTGCTTTACCCTTTAATTTCTATGTGACAATTGTTCAATATAAGGGAAACCTCATAGTCCTGATCTAGCCCTAAGGATTGAGCCCTTATCAGTTCTCCAAAAGACAGGAAAAATTCCATTGCAGTAAAAATGAACATGAAAAAATATTGTCAATCAATTTTTATTGAGGAGTAAGTGCATCAGATAACATTTGGACATTGGTTACAGAATCAAATAATGACATTAAATATCACATTGGTAGATACAGACAGACAACTATTGCACCTCAATGTTACATAACAGTGAAGTAAGTGTCACTGGGAGAGAGATCTAGCCATTTTTTATTTTTATGGGAAGAAATGGTTAGTGTTGACATTTGCCTCTGAAAAAGGAGCTTGTGAAATAGAAAAAAGGTAAACTTAGAACCAAAAGTAACCTTATGGGGAACATTTCCACAATTGTGAACATTTGTAAAACATTTCATTTACCAGAGCAGGATACCCCCAAAAAATGTTGTAACGTTCTGTGCTTGATGTTGCCTGCTAAATATTTTCTCTGATTTTGGATTTAAAAGTAAAACCATAAAATGAAAAGTACACACAACCAAACTGTTTTGTTAATGAGTAATGTGTGCTTGTCATGCTTAACATGACCTGGTGTCACTTTTAGAAAGCGTCAGTTATCATACAGACACTGTGTTAGCCGTAGGAAAGGTAAGGTAAGGTAATCATTTAAATAACTCCACCTTTCTGGATTTTACTGCTATGCCATTGGCACAATATTGGCATAGCGGTAAAGATTGCATGGAAGTATGCCAAGAGAGGAAAGCCTCTGTCCCACCCCAAATCGCACAGCTCTTAGTACATGCATGCAAATGAAAAATTAGGATGAGAGTTTGTTTATTCCAGGACACTGTGTTTGGATAAGCCCTGTGGAGTAGAATAAAGGCCAGTGTATCTTTCTTTGTAAATAAGCGCAGGCGATTACCAGTCCCTTTGCAAATGGGAATCTAAGATAAAATATGGATGAATCTAAAATAACTTAGAGCTTTAAGAAGATGTATTTTTTTCTTGCAGTTGCTGTAACCATGTTGACTCCACTAGAATGACTTCATTGCACAGCTTCATGTCTGCGACAGTTGTTTGAACAATGTAATTCCGTGTAAGACAGTTTGTCATCGTGGTACCAGCAGTTGGCTCTCTGGAGTCTTTCCATCACCTCACCTAAAGTGTGAAAGGCAGCTGTATATTTGTGATCTCTGGCATGCCGAGCACTGGAGAGGAAACATTGTAAATTCTCTCTGGGCCCTTTAAACTAATCTACAAGCTGGGCTGGGTATGATGTAATTAGTTACATCATCTTCTGGATACATATAGAACCTATCAAATGCAGTGCTAGTATACAACAAATGACCTCGAGTTCTAGGCGTATTCTGCTCCACCTGAAATGTCTACATTTAAAACTCTTTATAAATAACATTCACTGATTACATTGTTTGTTCTCTGATTGGAGACATGAACACCAAATGCTTTTCTATAACAGGTCGTAAGGAATTTCAAGACATAAATCACAAGCCGCCATATGTTTTGCCAAAAGTTGATTAAGATTATGTTTTGTGCTTATTTTTTGTAATGCAATTTAACGGCACAGCTTGTTGATTCCTGAAATACTACCGGTATGTTGCTAAGTTCTTCTCTTTAGTTAACTTCTTAAAGGACCACTATATTGCCAGGAAAACATACTCGTTTTCCTGGCACTAGAGTGCCCTGAGGGTGCCCCCACCCTCAGGGTCCTCCTCCTGCCGGGCTGGATGGAGAGGAAGGGGTTAAACTTACCTTTTTTTTCCAGCACCGGGCGGGGAGCTCTCCTCCTGCTCTCCTCCCTCTTCTCCGACTCTTCGGTTGAATGCGCACGCGCGGCAGGAGCCTCGCGCGCATTCAGCCAATCCATAGGAAAGCTCAGTGCTTTCCTATGGACTGCTATGTTTATAAAAAAAAGGGTTAACCCTAGCTGGACCAGGCACCCAGACCACTTCATTAACCTGAAGTGGTCTGGGTGCCAATAGTGGTCCTTAAAAGAAAAAGATCTTCCTCTATAATTTCTACTAGGTCGGTAGAGTAAGATGCACAAGCTCCAGAAATGATCCTCTCATCAGGATGGACAAAAAATAATTTGCAGTCTGTATTACAACAATAATCAGCCATGGCTCTGAGGGTTTCTGTTCTATAACTGTGCCATAACCAGCCCTATCACAGGAAGATTCAAAGTGAAAATGAAAAATTCAATGGTAAAAGTTGTTGCAAGAATGGATATTAGAAAATAGCACCTAATCATAGACGAAGCAAATTCACACTACATAAATATAAATATTACATAGTGAGACCCATATATAACAATAAATCAGGAGCCATTCTGGTGTTAAATAACAAGAACTCATTATTCCCTCCGGTTTTACCATGTTTAACCCCTTAAGGACACATGACGGAAATATTCCGTCATGATTCCCTTTTATTCCAGAAGTTGTATCCTTAAGGGGTTAATGTCGCCAGAATTACTTGAATGCCACCATCTTTGCAGTTACTATTCAGTGTTAGAACCAATTTCTTGTGACATTCTGCTAACTTCCTATGCTTTTTATTATATGGCTACAATTACATTAGCTTTTTGAAATGTTATAGAATGTTATAGAACATTTACCTTTAGCCATCTGAATTATCCATTTTGTTTTTCAACAATTTCCAAAATTACCTCAAAATTGAGGTCATGTGTTATGCCCCACGCCTGTGAAAAAGGAATTATAAAATGCCACGGTGGTAATGCTAATTACAAAGGACCAGGATCCCCTGGTGATTCTGTCTAAACTCATTTATTACATCACATTAGATATACTTGGATAACCTGTCCCTCTACTAGTAACAGCTTTAATTTGTGTATCAACCTCGTGCCACCTATGAGGATTGACCAGTTCCAGGAGAGCTCATACTTTCATCAACCCTCGAATACACAACTTGATATTTTCACTGTCGAGAAATTTATTTACATTAACATCTCTCCTCCATGTGTCTCTTCCAAGTAATCCGTTTGATTTTGTGGAACCAAACAAATAATTATTATGAACTGCTTCACAGCTACGGGCAACAAGAGTATTTATAAAGGCAACGCTAACTTACTGCCTCGATAGTATTTTTATGTCCTAGAACTGAAAGAATTCAAATAATCTGCTTTTGTAATGAATGACTTATTTTCTCTGTAGTCCTAATAGCTTACAAGAGCAGAGAGGCTTTGATGTGCGAGAAGAACAGGGAAAGAAAAACAATAAAATGTGCAGGAGAGACTAGCATGTAGCTGGGTGATTCAGAAAAGTGTCCATTGGGTCAGCTCCCTATAGGTACAAACAGATGTTTGCAGTGTTTCACAGCTGCTAAATATGACATAAATCCAAGGAATTTCTCATGTTTTTATAAAGTTTCAAAAAATAGTCAGACAGCAATTTTTGGGGTTATTCAGATATTTTTACCAAATGACATCTGGTTCATGTACGGCTTTTTAAAATCCTTAAAAAATGTCTGCCAAGGGAAGTAACTGAAAACGGGATGTGTTTCACCGTATGTGCAGTCTATGTATGGAATACTGCTCCGCTAGAGAACTCTTATATGCCAGAGTTTCAAATTACCAAGGGAATCCTCTCCCCATTCTATGCTGTTAGACTGGATGCAAAATGTTAACATTTTTCTATACAGCTTGATAACCAGTTTTTGTTGGCATCCAAAATAAGGAACTTTGACCTAATTGACAATCTGACATCAATAACCAAAACATAGAATATGGGAACTCTGAAAACCGACAAAAGCTTAGAGGAACTCAGTAGCTTACTCTTCAGCAAATCCCCGCTCAGGTCTCAAAATAGTTTTTGCTCCACCCATATGGTCAGTCCAGAACCAAAGTGCTGGCAAGTTCTGCACAAGAGATGCAGCAACCCAAGATGATCGTTTCGACCTTCTTTGGGCCTCGCCAGCGATACCCCTCTAGGCACAGTGAGCACGAGGTCCAAGTCTGGATTACCCTTTTGAACTTGGGGAAAACTAATGCAATGCAACAAAAACAGAGAATATGAGAAATCTCAGAACAGACAAAATAGGTTTTCCCATAACAGAGAAAACAAGCTGCAAGGCATATCAGACTAATACCACCCATAAGGGCAGCCCAGAACTGAAATGCCGGCAAGATAAATATTATTAACCAATCAATACCATTTTTAGAACTGGTATACAACTGACCACAATTCACAAAGTAAATGTCACAAAACATTTACTGTTGGTAACAAAAATCAGAAAAAAAAATCTTACCTTAAAACCAGGTCTAAAACCAATTTCCCTATATTCTCGATGTCAAACTCATGTGGTTAATGAAAAAA